TGAGTTTTTCAAATATATTAAAAGTTTGTATTAGACATTAAATAGTTTTTTAATCTAAAATCTTCTAAATACTTTTTTAATAATCCATAATAATAGCAAATATATTTTTTTTACCTTCTACAATAACGAAAGATACTTTTTTTAATAATCCATAATGATAGCAAATATACTTTTTTTTTACCTTTTACAATAGCAAAAAATACTTTTTTTAATAATCTGTGATGATAGCAAATATGCTTTTTTTTAATAACCTACTATGATAGTATATAATAATATATAATACTCTTTTTAAAAAAAGAAAATTTATATAATTATAAATAATATTTTTTTTCTTTTTTTTTAAAAAAAAAAATACTATCATATCTGCAAACAATTGTTTTATAAAATGTTTCCAGCACCACATAAATTTTGTCCATATTTTGTACTTACTAAAAATACTAAAATAAAGGAAATGCAATTGCCATATGTCTTAGTTGTATTAATAATTGTGATGGTAGGTTAGAAGAAGCTAAATTGAGGGCAGAATATTGTACAGCAAACAAGACAAAGTTATGCTGTGCATATTTGGAAAAGTGTGAAAATTTTAAAAAATCGTTTCCTAAAGATATAGTTGAAGAAATTCTTGCTTTACCAGTGCCTGAAGACAAAATTAATAGTTCTGAAGATTTGTAATAGTAATTAAGTAAAATTTTAAAATATTATTTACTAAAGTATTTTTTAATAATTAGTTGATAGTGAATCTATTCCAATTAAACGACAAAGATCTTCTACTTCGACAGTATCAAGCATTAATTCTATATCTTCCAATTCAATGGTATTATGTCTTAATTCTACTAGCAATTACCAAGAACATTTAACTTCTTACTATTATTGTCAGCTGTTAGCAAATAACATATCAAAATTTGAGTGATTATTTATTAGAATAATAGTGTCTAATGGTCTTGTATTTTCATTTGTAGAAAATGAAGAAACCAAAGCACTGTTTGATTTTGTTGCACAGCTACTTTCGATAGATGGACCAATGTTAAAATAGAACAATTATGGGGTGTTATATTTATTACATCAAAAGACAACCTTTGGTTTAGGGTGCTTATCCAATAAGTACAGAATGATCTTGTATAGCTAATGTGATTCAATATATAAAAAAAATGATAGAAGATGCAAAAAAAAAATTATTAAAATAAAAGCACTTGTTTCAGATTTAGCAGGCGAATATGCTGCAGCAAGGTAAAAATCTCTAATAAAAATAATTACTAAATATGAATATTTTTAAATAGATTATATTTTTTATTTATAGACGCCAAATGAGAAGATTATATCAAGATAAAATTTTTTTACCATGTATAGCATACCAAATGAATCTTATTTTTGGTGAAGTTTTTAAAGAAAATATGCTATATTGTAGAATATTTAATAAAGCAATTAGATTAGTTAGTTATTTTAATAAATCAGTATTTTTTATGGATCATCTTCATGAAGAACAAATGAGACTTTATAATAAGCATATATGTTTGATATCCCCAAGTGAAACACGATGAAATAGTTATTACTCATATTTTGTCTCAATAATAAAGACTCAAGCTGTACTAAAAGTAAAAATTATAATATAATTCTAATAGTAAATGAATTAATACTTGAAATAATACTTAATTAGTTTTATTTACAATTATTTTTGTTTATTTAGTTTATTTCTATGAAATTTAATCTACATAGAATTAATATAATATATAATAATAGACAACCTTCAGCACTAGTGGATAAGTCTTCAACTCAAAATAAAAATCATAAACTTCCAGATGATATTGCTGATACTATTAACAATTCAGAATTTTGGTCTATTCTTTTTTTATTACAATATATATTTTATTCCTTGTGTAGTTTTTTAAATAAACTACAGAAAGATACTGCATGATTATTTGAAGTAGTATATTGTTTTGTATCTACAATTAAGATTTTTAAAGAATATCAAGATCCTGTTTTTGGTTCTCAAATAGTTAAAAGAATTGAAAAACACTGGAAAGAGTGAGAACATCCACTTCTTATTCTTTCAATTGTTCTTTATCCATATTATAAATTAAAAAAATTTCAATCTACAAATAATAATTTAACTTGGACCCATATAGGTCAATAGTTAAAATACTATTATCATGCATTTTTTGATTCCTGTCCTTTATCAATTGTAGCTAAAATGATTTTATATAAGCAAAGTAAGAATCCTTATGACTATGAAACTTTTTTACAATTTAATAGTAATTTAATAGACTATTGGGATTCAATAGCTAGTATTGGGCCAGAATTAGCAAAAGTTGCAATATATATTCATGGTGTTTGTGTAAACTCAGTT